AAAATAAAAAGAAATTCATGTGCTGGAGAACCTGCTGGTGAGGAAGGGATCGTTCAGTGATGTCCATGTGTGAGGGTGGTATCACTAGGGTAAGACACTGCTTAGCTGCCTTTATCTATGCTAGACACTCCAGAGGTCACCTAATCCCTGCTGCAAGAACTTCGGTGTCACCCCTGAACACCCTCCTGTCTGGCTTGCACTGAAGCAACCTCTCAAGCTAAACTGCACCTTGAATTTCTGACTGAAATATGATCGATAACTTTTAATTGACTTTGCAGTGTTTCAAAAAAGTCGGAACAGACAGAACATGTTTTGAAAAAGTACAAACACACCGTGACAGCCAAGTTCAGGGTGAAGTTGGTGTATCTGATAAGACTGTTTTAAAAGAGAAAGGAAAGGAAAGCCTTAGGAAGCTAGAGGAAAGAGCACTAGAGGAAGTGAGCATTAGAGGAAACATTATCAGTCCAAATCCTTTAGCAATCTTAAAGCTTGAAAGATGTAGAGTGCCACATAAAACATATAAACATGTAACATACAAAAAGAGAAAGATAACGTTTCAATGCTGTTCACAGTTACTCCTTTTTGGAAGGATGAGGCCACATGATTTTCCTTTGCATGGATATCCTGTCTTTTGAATTGACAGACTAAGGTCTGTGTTTATGCCTGAATCCTTAATGATATTAGGGTCGCTGAAGCCGTGTAGAACTGGGATTATTTAAGTCTCTAGACATCTGCACTTTTGAACATCTGGAGGTTTGTCCTCTGCAGACACAACAGTGTTGCAGACATAAATGTCACAGCAGAATCAAAACTTGGTAGATGCTTAACTCAATAGCTTATATTCATATAAAGGATAAATAAGGGATTAAATGATAACTCAATAGCTTATATATAAAGGATAAATAAGGGATTAAATGACACCATTACCTGTGATAGCAGGGTCTTGACCTTGATGACCTAGAAGAGCCCACTTACCTATATATGTCCCTTTTTTGGTATCATAGAGTAAATGATTCTCTCTCCAAATACAAATGAAAACCCAGCAATACTTTAGCGAGTACCAAGGCAGACAGATAGTGAGGGGAATCATTTTCTTGAAGCTGTGTTGCCCTCATGGGCAGCTTTGCTGACAGTTATGAATGTCACTCATCGAAACACTTGCATGTGATTCTGATAAGCCTGCTAGAGCTGCTCTACAGCCAATGTCACTGTCACTGCTGAGGGCATGAAAGTCGGCGCTTAACTTCATTCCTCACTGTAATCTTAATGTACCTGTATTGTCTACTAGGCATTTTCTCAACACAGCCAAATAAATTTGGTGTCAGCAGCCAGGAGAGCCGTACTCCTGAATAATCTCTAATGCTTTCTAAAATGATTGCGTGTCTCAAAAGCATATATATGAGTCCTCATCTAGAAAGTCCGGGAGGGAGCTTGGTTTGCATCCATTTTGCTCTTGTTTTTTGGCTTGGTTTTTTCCACACAGCTCCCATCCAGTTATCTCCACTCGCTCAGCAAGAAAGTCCTGGTTTACATTTTGTTCCTTAAGTGCTGGGTCCTGGTGTCCTCTTGGCTGTTTGATCACATCTTTCAACCCTTCAAATTAAGTACTGAAATACTGGAATCCTGCAGCTTTAGGTTTGGAAAGTCAAATATAGAGAAGGAGAAACCAAGGGGAATTAGAAATGAGAAATGAGTGTGTGGGGAGAATCTCAATCCAAACTATGCCCCTTATCACACCTCCCTATCAAATACCATTTGTGCCTTGCCACAAGCACTGTGTTGCTGCCTGGCTTGCTGGCTTCTTCTGTGCTCGTTGTAATGGCTCAGTATCAAAATCAGGCTGTTGCCAAAGTTCAAGCAACACTGGAAACCACGTGCAATTGCTTCTATTAAGGTCACTAGTTAATGAAATATAAAAGACATACCAAATAATTGCACTCCAAGGAAAGCGTGAGCAACCATCCTTGCACATCTGATATCCAAATCATGCCTCATGTGCCTAATACATATGTTTATGGTGCAACATTCACACCTCCTGACTTGCCTACACTGGTGCCTTCTAGACTTAAGCATGCGTGAAGAATGCATGGTGTCTCCAATCTGCCACACAAATCACTAAATTAGATGCACAGGCAGCTTCTACTGCTTCACAAGAGCTTTCTCTAAATTGATATTTTATATTGCACCAGTCAATGTTAAAAACTGAAAATATGCTTAGGAAAGTTGTAGAGTTTTCCAAACCTGGATTACAGTTTGAGCCTGCAAGGTGTTGAATTCATTGGATTTAGCTCAGCAAAACTTTCCTGGAGTTAATCATGGGCTGAAAAGTACACAGGTGTATTGCTCTTCTTTGCTGCCTTGCTCAGGGAGTTGCTGTGCCCTGAACTTTGAGCCTGTTGTGGGGGCAGGAGGAGGCAAGCCACCCACCACTGATAAACAGCCGCAATCCCCCAGAGAGGGTTAAAATGGCCTGGCTTCCTCTGTGGTAGAAATGCTGCCATAATCTTAAAGGCAGTATATGAGCCTCTTAAGAGTAGGTTAAAGACATAGTTACTTTAACATTAAAGGACTTCTGAAGGTGTAAAAAATGTACTATTTAATGTGGCATCTTCTTCCCTCAGTGACAGACTAATTCAAGTGTATCTTTTCCAAATGCTTTTCATAGTTAACTAAATGAAAACTTTTTTATAAAAAATGTTGCCTGCATTAGCAGACTTTTATGGTCTGAAAAACATGTTTGGGATTTCTGTTAAAAGGAGAGCCTGAGCATCAGCTCCTGCAGCAAGATCAATTGAGGAACTAGGTCACTAGAATTAACTGATAAGACCTGACTGGAAGAAATGCAAATAAACCTGTCAGATCCTTGCCAGATCCTTCTCAGCTACTTTCAGAGTTATCACAGGGCCAAGGAACAGGGAGTGTGACTCAGGCTGGCCCAAGTCCTACTAAAGAAGTATTTGAAGAGCTTTGCATTGATTTAATTTGTCTCTGAACTGCACGCCAGGACTAGATTAGCATAGAATGGAGACACGTTTCAGCACTTTGTCAGATGCAGAACTGTGATGGCATTTTGCTGCAGATCACCTGCTTTGTGTTGCCTGGAAGAGCAGTGTCTTGAGTGGCTGTACATTGGCTAATAATTGAAACAGAGGCAGGGCACAACCCTGATCTCTAGTTTAAGAAGGCCTTAACTAAACAGACAAGGTCTAAAAGTCAGTCACTGAAAAAGCACAAATGCCACTGCTGTGGTGGCATCCCTGACTGCTAGTGACAACCAAACTTCTTGCAAGGAATTGCATTGCAGAGAAACAATCTTCAACAATTTAGATCAATTCTCCAGGTTCAAAGACAAGTATTTCTATGGCTCTTATTCAGTCATTCCTTTTTCCACAGCAATGGCAGTGATAGCTTACTTACACAATCACATCTGCAGTTAGCAAAAGTAGTAAGAAATATTTAGCTCTTCTACTAAAAGATCAGGGCTCATGTGGAGACCACAGCACAGTATATCTTATGAAATGGGCTCAATTTCTGGCCCAGCATTTAGTGACTGCTAATTTTACTTAGCCACTAAGAACTATCTCAGGCAGCCCTGGTCATCCAAAGGCATTTTCTCAAGGAGAGTTGGTAGGCTCTTCCCATAGCCAGCCAAAAGCAAAGAGTAAAATAGGATAAAATTACTTACCAGGCAGCATTAACCTACAGATCACACTGGGCACGTCTTTTTTTTTTTTTTTTTTTTAAGAGCTTTATTAACTATATTAAAGCTTCCAGATGGCATATTAGAAAATGTTCAGGACCTTCTATCAATGTCTTTGTTACCAAACAGCCAAAGAGAGATTGGATAGCAATAGAGAATATTAAAAGCACGACAACAAAACCCTAAATATACTGAACGGATTTTGTCTTTCAGAGAAAATACAAGATGCTACAAAAGGATAAATTCAAGTCCTACTGAAGTCATGATCAAATGCCACTGTTCTTTAGCGGAACGAGGGATTTCAATGAGAAGAGTTTGTGCAAGAAGCTACAAGTGAGTGGGGGTACCTTTGCTCGGCGGGCGGCTCTCAGTTCCCCTTCCCCACTGTCGATGACCCCCGTCGTGTCGGAGGGCAGGCGCCCAGCTCAGGGCAATGGATCCCACTGCAGCGTCGCACGACTACGAATTACTCACTCGTGCCTGTAGTTGCCTTGTGCTTCCGTTCTTCATTTGTACCATTAATTAATAATAATAGCCCTTACTGTTTTGTTAACAAAATAAAGAATGGCAAAACCTGTAAGGAACACAGATGCTGGCTAATAAGGATGATCTAACCTCTTTGGGTAAGTTTTAAAGACTTGGGCACAGTTTGAGCGCTGCTCTGAGCTGAGGCAGTGTCGTGTAGCTCTGCCCTTTTGTGCTCTGCCCTTCTCAGACAACGGCATGGGAAGGCCTTCAGCGCCTACCCCCTGGCAAATGCAATCTTTCTTGAGGCATTTTGCTAAACACAGGGGTCCCCAGGCAAGGCAGGGTGAGTGACCCCATGCCAGCATCGTGGGGTCTTCATGAGGCCGGACTGCCTTGCTGCCGCTTCATGCGCAGGCAGGCACTGCCCTCCTTCGGTTCAAGCATCTCTAGCTCATTTTCTAGCTAAGTCGAGCACAAGATTGATTTTCCATTTCCAAGAGGCAGGGGTGTAATTCACAGTGCAGCTGCCGGTGAAAGGCAGCACCAGGTCCTGAGACTGCTGTGACACTGCAGCCCAGCACGCTGAAGACGAGAGAGGCTTTGCATGTGTCTGTGGGCACCCGGGAGGACGAGCGGTTTGGCTGCATCACGAGACGATCCAGCCATCTTAGTACATAATGCACAGCCCGTGCAAGCTGCAGGAAGGGCTCTGCATTGACTCTGATGGCCATCAACCTCTTCCCAAAAAGATCTGTAGTACTGGGATCAAGACTGGAGCGTGGGTTGTACTCCCATTCAACCTAAGGGAAATACATAAGAAAAAGGGTGCAGGACCTTTGGTATGTGAATGGGTACCTCACTGTGTGTCTGAGCACAGTATAAGCAACTAGACTTGTTTCTGTCCTAGTCTTCTCCTAAGACAAAGAGGAGGATGCACGTGCAGAGCATAAGGCAGAATTTGAAAACCTAGTGTGATTTCACAGCTAGAGTCAGCTTATCAACTCAGAAGTAATTTCCTGCTCAGTCCATTAGAACAGGTTTAAACTTCATTTGTGCCATTCACTTCCATCTTCAGTCCCTCTCGTTCATCTCTCAAAGGTTCCAGCTCAGGCCCATCCTGTTGGGTTTCTTTGTTCCAGTTACTTCTTCCTTCATTTTCTGTCCTTACAATTTTAGGGTCCTCTTCTTTTGCCTTTCTTTCCTTCTCCTCTTTGGCAAGCATACGATAATTATAGTAATTCATGATGAATAGGAATGTTCCTGCCAAGACCATCACAGCTCCACATTTAATGAACATATATTTATAGTCCCCAAAGGTATCAATAAGAGTTCCTGTAAAACATACATTAAAAAAGAAATTTAGACACAAAGGCAGGAATATTGCTTTTGCAGCTCCTAAATAAAAAGGGACATTCTTGTAGCATTAGGATGAAATAAATTATTCCTGACCTGTTCAGTTCTGATCCTGTGAACACTTCACACGTGTCCCGCTTTATAGTTTGCAGGTAGCTACATTAATGTCAGTGGTACTATCAATAATTTGTAGAGTTAAGCAGGAGACAGAGAACCTTTATCACAACCTCTGAATTTGCCAGGCACCCCTGCTTTTTCCATGCAGAAACAAAAACCCCCCATCCCTTAGTCTGCATGCACTCTTCCTGTTGACTTCAGCAACCACCCGATCAGGTAGATGACATCCACCCAACTTGGTAGTCCTGAGGCTGCCAGCAAAAGTGGCAGCTTTCAGGAAGACCTCTGTGAGGTGGATGGTGGCCACCAAGTCTCATCCCAGGCCACTGACTAAGACCAACAAATTTATTTTACCACGGGTCATTCACCAGTCTCAGAGGGCGCTGACTCTTGGTCACAGCTGCCCTTTCTGCATTTAAACGTGTGACCTTCAGATGAAAGGGCACTGCGTGGAACTGGAAAACATTAGTTCCAGGGAAAGCAAAGATGATGCTGTCAACGTCAGATAATTTCAGTGCCAAGACAAATGTGACAGGTTCCTCTCAAAGGTTAATGCCTCAGCTACAGAGTTACAGAATAATTGAAGGGAGATGGCTTAATTGAAATGTCAGTGTTCTCCATTATGTCAGAATGTAATGCAAACGTTATTGGGATTATGATCCTGAGTATTAATTCCCATTTATCGGAGTAACACGGGCCATTCTTAACATCCCATAGGCTAATTAAAGTAGGACCTACTTCTAACCTGGCTTTCATAGTACAGATAGTCCTGCTTTAAACTGGCCCATCATCCATTACCTCCCTGACTTTCTGGAATATGTTCTCCTCCTTAAAAAGAGAGATCTTTAATAACTTCTTGACTGACTCTTAATGCTGAAAATCCGATGATTAATTATCCCACCACATACTCACACTAACAAGGGATTTTATGGCTACTAAATAGACTTACTGACTACAAAATTAACAATTTTAACTGGTTTTGGTCAACAGTTTTTCCTGAATAATTCCTGCATATCTTGGTACACTGTTTTCAGTGCACTGTGTTTCTAATGCTACTCGTGAAACATCAACCAAATGTTAATTGCAACAATTTTTCCTTTTCTGCTAATCAGGATGACCTAGAGGTCTCCTAAATAGGTTTCAACAAGAGCTTTAATGAGTAGAGTATTGGAAAATTCAACAGTAGGATAGTCTCGCCTCTTTTCCTTTGAGAATAAGATAAAGTCATAAGACACACTGGGAACAATTTACTTAGTTCATTAAAGCAGAACCCTGCAGTAGGTTATTAAAATGCCTAAGAACCAATAAATTTGCTGTTTATTATAATGGTGGGGAAAACCCTAGAAAACTAATATTACTGAGTATTACACAGAACTGTTTTAGCCTCATTAGCAGTCTTTGGTCATTAACTTAATCTTCCACACAGAAAATTATATAACTCAGAAAATGGTCATTTTTAAATTGCATTTTCTTTAGTTTGTCATTAATTATATAATGAATCCCTAAGAAAACAAGAGGATTCAACTACCTCTGTCACACACTTTGCACTACATGGTGATACAAAGAATTAAATGGCTCTGCAGATGTGTCATATTGAATAAGGAGCTTAGCCAGCTCTTAAGTTTTAAATCCAGGAAATGGATTTATCTTGCTTTCTCTCTGTGCAGTCTTTAAACCTATTTGGAAATGCTGTCACATTCAATTAGCAGATTTTAATTTTTTATATATATCCAAACACATACAGAACACACAACCTAGTTAAGTATTTTAGCTGTACAGTATACCTGCAGGTTACTGGTAAATAAACCAGTTATCGCAACTTGCATACAGGTGAAATGCAAATTTGCACAGAGAGGATGATACCTGTAGCGTGATAGGATGTCACCCACAAATCCATTTAATTCATAGCCATGTTAGATTGGATTTGACTCTACTTGAGCCAAATGCTGGATTCAAACATTATGTCTTGCAGACGTAGTGCATACTTCCCCAAAAAATAAATGAACACATGCTATAGAGGGAAGCAAGATGAGGCTCTTAAACATACTTCCCCAAAAAATAAATGAACACATGCTATAGAGGGAAGCAAGATGAGGCTCTTATCTTCAGAGGCCTGTAGGCATTGCTGGAGGGTTTAATAGTGTCAGCACGGACTTTTGAGGGTGTCTAGCTCTGGCACAATTTCTTGCATGAGTGTCCCTTGGGGCTCTACAAACATTGAAATTAACTACAGCCCATAAGCTAGACCCAGCTCTCTCAAAGACAAGAAACAGTCAATATAGCAGAACACTAAGGACTACAGACACAAGGGCCTTGCACCAAAAAGCATGCTCAGCACACAAGCTGTTTACAGCATCTCCCTAAACACAGATCACAAGGCAAACTAAGGATGTTTTTCACAGGTGAGGAGATACTCCACAAGAAAAAGAACAGAGAGCTCAGTCATTTTTATATTTGTTTTTTACTCTGTTAAGTATTCTAATAAGCTATATTTTTCAATTAGTTTTTTAAGAAAATCAAATCTGCTCAAAACAAATACTGCACCTCAGCAGTATTTGCCTCAAATCTATCAGATGTGCTGAGATGACAGAAATCCATAAATGGAAATACTCAAGACTTACCTACACTGTAAACTATCGAAACAGAAATTAAAATATTTACATGTGATTGCTGGGTCCAGCATAGCCTCAGAGACAAATAGCAAATATTAATTAAGACCCTGGGCTTGAGTCAAGAAAAGGAATTCATGGTGCTTTACTGAGCTTAGATTACTGTGGACCTCAGCCTTTTGCCACAGGCTTTCCAGGAGAAATCGCCTCAAGTGCAAGTTGCTTTGTGAGGGCTAGCCCCACTGTGCAAATTCTGTTTAAATGTTTGAAAAGATCAGGGAATAAAATCCTCCTCCTTTATCCAGATCACCCCTCCGCCCCCTGCCAGAATTGTTGACTTCAACTCAGGTACTAAACAGAAAAGAGTAAAGCAGAAATGCTGTTCCTTTATCCAGATCACCCCCCTCCAGAATTGTTGACTTCGACTGAGGTACTGAACAGAAAAGAGTAAAGCAGAAATGCTGGAGTAGAAGTCTAGGACCTGCATTCCCTGTCTAATTACAGGGGAAAAAAGGTAGAAAGAAAGAAAACACATTCAAGTATGCTTTGTAAGAAGTGATTCTAAAAGAGGAAAAATATAGGCTCTTTGAGTGAGGAACATCACCCCTGGGTGGTGGGAACGCACTCACCTCCAATCGGTGGTCCGAGGAGGATGGTGCAACACTCCACGATGGTGACCAGGCCAACGGCGCTGGTGAAGCGGGCAGCTCCCACCAGGTCCATGAGCGTCTCGAAAAGCATGGCACAGACCATGCCGAAGGCCAGGCCGAAGAAGATGGAGTAAATGACAAGTCCCGTGTAGCCTGAAGCCAAGGGGCACAACAGGTGACAGGCGCCATTGAAGGCAATGGAGAAGCTAAAAAAATACTGAATCCTCGGCCTCACCCACTTGCTGTTGGCGATGATGCCGGTGGCAGGCCTGGCAATCATGTCCACGATGGCAAGAATCGAAAGGAGGAAAGCAGCTGAATATTCATCAATGCCGATGTGCTTTGCGTATGGTGCCAGAAAAACGATGGGGGCAAAAAACCCCAGGAACATGAGCACGTTTCCAATCAGGTAAATCAAGAACCCTCTGTGCTTAAAGAGGGAAAAGTCGAGGTACTGATTGATTTTTTCACAACAGTCCTTTTTTTCTTCCTCTTCTGTTTTGGTCTCTGCAGGGGTGTATGCGGGATTGCTCATTTCTATGGACACCTTAGTGACCTCTTCTTTTGGAGCCTCTTTCTCTTCCTCCATCTGTTTCTTGACTGACTCTTTGGCCACTTTAATGGGCCTGAAGAGAGCTCCTGCCACACAGCAGTTTAATAAAACTGCGCCAAGAATTAGAAAGCTGCCCCGCCAGCCAAAATTGTCAAAAAGAAACTGGTTGAGAGGAGCCAGAGTGCAAAGCATCACAGGACTCCCTGCCATAGCAAGGCCATTTGCGATGGGTCTCCTTTTTAAAAAGTATTTTCCTATGATTATCACAGATGGCTGGAGGTTGAGAGCAAGGCCAAATCCTGGAATGAAGAAAAACAGGTGAGATGATACACAAAGGAAGAGCCAAGACACTTTTCTGCTCAGCTCGCTGTTTTAGGTAAGTTCATGGAAAACTAGTCCACTGGTGGCTCTTCAACATGATACCCTAGAGAGAAACTTTGCACAAGATTTCCCTAAACTTCTGGCTGATGAATCTAGGGAATCAGCCCCCAGAAACGTTGAGTCACAGAACATCCCTTCCTTGGGGACTGCAAAGCTTGTGTGTGACAAATGCTACTGCCTCCATGAGTTTTCTCTGTACTAAAGCAAAGCTACACCCTTAACAAATGCTGGAGGGCACACAGACCACCTGCAACACATAGCCTCAGACATCGTTTCCACTACTAATGCAGTGAGCAGCTCAGATCTCATGCAAAAGATTAAGAAGTCTGTAAGTACCCAGCAAAACAGCTACTGAAGATGCTAATTAAACAGGGCCCTAGAGTGTTTCCTTTAATTAAATTTTATTTTTTCTTGCATTTAGATATATAAATGATATTATACATCTACATTGCTAATACAATGCTTTTCTTGTGTAGGCAAAATCTGAAAGAAGAGCTGTTGAATGTTGTAGCAGACCAAAATTTCTAGGGCTGTGTTGCACTAGTAAGTAATTTTTCTTTTCAAAATTTCAATGTGCTGTGTCTCCTTAAAAAGTTAAATTATCAGAACTTCATCAAAATGATATTTTAAAAATGTAGCACATATTTTCTTTCCTACCATCTAGAAAAGGATGAGCCATATTAGAACAAAGCAGAAATGTAATCCTTGAAGTGATTATACTAGAGAACATGAATCCTGAAAATAGGGTCATGCAGATTTTTTCTTGTTCATTAGTCTATATAATTAGTTTGTTTAACTGTGCAGTACATAATTAGGCATATTGCTTTACAGAAGAGAATTTAGAAAGGTCAAGGTCCTCAAAATTAATTAAAGAACACTATCATTAGTAGCTGATGAAATAGAATCCAACTAATGCAGCAGAATTCAACTGATGCTGGTGAGCTTAAGTTTGAATGTTTTTACAAAATTGTGTCTTTTGCCAAATCTAGGATTTGTTTATTAAAAATAACTCAGAAGTTTGAAACAATAAAAAGAAATTGGAAAAAAAATATTATCATATTCTTGGTAGGAAGAGACACATTCTTAGCACAAACTTTTACTTCTAGATAGTTCATATTAGGTAGCGTGTATCTTGCCTACAAGAAGTGCAGACTACATGACACACATAGGGGGCCAAATTCATTCCTGTGAAGATGGGCAACCTGGGAACTATGGAGGCAAAATACAGCATTTGTTATAGAATAGCTTTGCCAGCTCTTGGAAACGGGAAATATTTTCACTTGGGAAGATGCAATACGGTGGATTAGAGCTTGCTTTAACTCCATATTTCCCAGGGTGTTAGGTTAGTGTAGGAACTGAAACTTCATTTTCACAAAATCATTTTTGCTAAGGATCTCCCACCTGCAGTGGCCAAAAGAACCCCTCGGAGGAGAATAGAAATTAGATTGGCGGCCAGCTACCCACTTAACCAATAATCAACTAGAATCTTTTATTATGTGAACATTAATTTGCAAGTCAGACATATCTAATTTAATACTACCTCATGCTCTTCCCATTAATTAAATTTGGAGAGTTTCGAATTGACTGACTGGAATTTCAATTTACTTTAAGCTTTTGATTGACTTCAGATGGAAATATTTATATCCATTTTATTCCAGTTTACAGGAACTCCCACACTCCCACACCTGGAATTTTTTGTCAACTAATCCCATTTTCTCCCCAAGGAAGGAGAGAGAGAGACCCATTGGTGGTGCCATATGAACAGAACTAAATCTGTGCCAGGGGAGCATCTTTCCCTGTTTTGAATGTGTGTTCCTTGTTACCAGAAGTCGGAAATGGGTGGTGCTACAGTACTGCACTGAGTAGCTATTGGTGCTATTCTTCCTTTTGCAGCAAGGGAAGAGCCAACTAGCTACTTCAAGGCTCAACATTGAGAGCCCAGGCAAAGCCTTCAGCCTCTTTATTCAATATGTTTCACCCTCAATCCCTTTTTATTTTGTAGTGGTCTGGCTGATAGGGATTGGACTAAACTCTGCCCAGGTGTGTTTAGCTTTGTTTAGCTTGTGTTTAGCTTTGAAATTTGCACTTTCTCTTCCAGGCATGAGGGAGGGCCTGAAAACCCATCTCATGCATCTGAGATGGCAGTCATCCAGGACACCATCTCGGAACCCCCTTTTCTTCTTCAAAGTGCTATAGGGAAACAAACGGTCACCACAAAAGAGAACCAGGCTTCTGCAGCACACACAAAAGTGAGGATCCCCTGCAGCCCACAGCTCCCCGCCACCAAGGATGGCAGCGCTTCAGACTCACTGCTGACAGTGGAGCCTGATCTGCATGCAAATGGAAAAGACATAATCAAAAAAGCAATTGCAATTGCTGTGTCTAATCCCTCCACTGTAAACAGGTACTTCCTGCTCTGATCCTCCTCAGAGATTTTGATTAATATGCCAAAGGCACAGGACTGCAGCAGAGACCTCCTCATACCAACTATCTTGTTTTTACCTCTATCCCCGAGAATTATGCGAGTGTGGTCCTTTACGTCATTGTGTTTCCTTTTCAGGCTGACAAGAAGGAGATTAGAAAAACTATGATGTTTACAGGTTGTTTTGTATTCATTGCAAATTGCTTTTATAAAAGTCTCTCTCCTCTTACAGTGATGCCGCCCCAGCCGTGTGATCAGCAGGCGGCTTTATATAATTGTCCTTGAATGCTTCCACGCTAGACCTGAGCAGGAAAAATACTTCAGGCTTAATTAGAAGCATCAACCATGTCAACTGAACTACAAGTGTCTCCCTCTCTTTGTCATGTTCATGCTCCCCAGTCCACATGCCATGCCTGGATGTGGCAGGTCATTACCTAAGACTCCATCCATACAGATGTGTCCATGGAACATGCGTTAGGCCCAGGCATCAACAGCTTATTTTTGAATTTATCCATGGGAGGCATTTGGTGATTTCTATTTGCTGGTTTGTTTCTGGGATCTCTTTCAAGGAAATTGCAATATTTATTTATTCAATAATAGCAGTTTCAGCTAACTACAGTGGCTCTCTGTAGAAAAGAAAAGTCTTAATAGAAGGAATCCTACCTGGGGATTTCTTTGCCACTGTGCAGATTCAATAAAGTGGTGATGGTTTAAGAGAACAGGGTGACAAATATTCTGCCCCAACTTACTTCTCTACCAGCCAGTTTTATTGATTTTAAATGTTGAGCTTATATTTTTCCTGTTCACAGCTGAGCCTATACTTTTCACGTTCAGACAGCACCAATACCCAATGCAGCTGAAGTGACAGGGAGAACATTCATTAAACCACACACCTTGCAACCTAGAAAGCCAGTTTTGAACTAATTGTGTCATCTTTTGCAGCAGATATTCTAGTCGCACTGAAACAAACACTAGCAATACCCTACCCAAAATAACCAGGATTATTATAAACATTCAGCTTACAATTAAGCACCAGTATTCACTTTTGAAAGCAATGACCCAGCTCCTGTAGACTTTAAAATGATGGATGGAACCTACACCTTGTTTCCTTTGATATGAAAATATTAGAGAAGGAAAACTTGAGGTGCATGAGGAAAGGTGTCACAGCCATCACAAGGGAGCCTCAAACGCAGAGAAAAGGAGATGCTTTCTTACCTGTAATGAAGCCCACACAGATGTAGAGCTGCAGGATACTGGTGCAAAAGGCAGCTGAGACCATCCCTATGCCACAGAGCAGGCCTCCAAACATAACCACGGGTCGGCTGCCATAGCGGTTTACTAAAATACTGCTTATAGGACCTGGGAAAAAGTGAAGAAAAGAAAAAAAAGATCATGTAGGGTCATGAACACATGATCGAAACACCGCGTCTTGATTTATTAGGATGCTAAACCACGCACATGAAACACCAGTGCATATTACAAGGCTGATATCATGAACACTGTTGCATTTTTAATGCCTTTATTAAACGCTGTTCTGATACTGCTGATGTTCCCACAGAACAGTTAATTAAATCTTAATAGCAGTCAACCTAGGTGGAAACAGTTTGGTATGATGGATTTGGTGGAACTCAAAGGAACCAGCCTGATCTTACATTTATGTAAAGAGGTGGTTTAGGAAAGTGCAAAATTATAGAAAGAGGAATAGGAGAAGAATGTAGACACTGAAAGGAAGGATCAAAGTCTGAAGAAGTAAAACATGCAGCTAGCTTTGAACAGAAGAGGAAAGAAGGGAGTTCTCTGGTAGTCACAAAGAGATGGAGGACCATCAAAATATCAGAATCATGAAATAATTTATGTTGGAGAGACCTCTGGAGGTGTCCAGTCCAATCTCTGCTCAAAGTAGAGTGAACCTTGAAGTCAGATCAGGATGAGAAATTGAAAAGAGAGAAAAACTGAGCAGGAAAGGGTGTTTGGTTCAGAAGTCAAGCTGTGAGAGGTTGGAAAAAGATTCTGCATCAGGCCCAAAACCTTGAAACAAAATGCTGCAAAAAATGGTAAAGGAGATGAGGCAGAGAAATATAAGCAACATTTAGTATCTTCTCATACACCTAATACTTAAAGTACTTTGTAATATACAGCAATCATCTTTCTGAACCTAGTGTACCTGTTTGCTTTCACTCCTGCAGTTATCAATAGCTCGCGGCATCCCCAGAGAGAATGTGGGAAATTGGTGTTTTAAGCTTACAGGCATTTCTGAAGAGTTTGACTATGGAACCTACCTCACTTGCATATTTATCTCTCATTAAATAAACTCAGGAATAGAGCCAGGACTCCTTCTAGACTCTGGATAGCCCGATGCATGTGGGACCTGAAAGCTCCAGCAGCCACTCAGTGTGCAGAGAGCATCCCAAACAGATATTGGCTGGTACTATGTTCAAAAATAACCTAGGGAATATCACCTATCCGTACACCTGTAACACACAAAGTACTTTCAGCTAGACTCAAACACTCATAAAAGAAATGCTTGCAAGCTGAGACCTAGCAACACCTCAAGAGCTATGTGATCTGCGAGATGGTCCCCTAGTTCACAACATGCAATTAAAGCATGTGTAAGAATATAAGTATGTGGCTGGTTTTGTCTCCTAAACTTGTAGCTCTGTTCACGTATATGTATTTTTTCTGCTCACAGCATTACACAATTCAATGAAAAGTGCTAGGAAAGAGATTTATAAGATACATAAGACATAAAAGATTAGCAGAGAGAGAAACAGGCATCTTTTGCAGGCTGAAGCATCTGGGTTTTTCAGATGCTTGAACTTGCCTCAGTGTCCTGCATTTCAATAGAGTGATCCAGTGTTCCTCAGGAAAGCCACCAGACTGTTCATCTGCAGCCTGAGGGGAAACAAGTTTTTCTATTTTTCAATTTTCCACATGTCCGCCTTGCTCCAAAATCAATCCAATAACCCAAATAACAAAGTGCACTTTGGACTCCCTTCTTCTACAAGGGCACTTAAAACCATGGAACATCAGAGGGGACGTAGGACTTCTGTCCCCCTAGAGGGGACAATCCAGAATAGAGGCTGCAGTGGGTGGAGAGCGAAGGGGAAATCTCATATCCCTGTGGCAAACGAGTGCATCCTTCCTTTGCAATTGGGGCAACCTTAATGAATGCAGAGTGTCCTTAACCCACAGCCAGTAACTGGCCATGGAAATGCAATTGCTGCAGCGAGGGTCCGGTCCCAAAGGCGCTACCTGCTTGGGCCATGCAGCACTCAGCAAAGACTCATGACAAACTTAGGAAGCCACGTAAGCCTTTCTCCTTGGCACTCTGAAGCTTCAGCTAGCTTCAACCATCGATGACTGAGGGTCCAAGACCTCTAAGGTGCCCAAGGCAGTCAGCTGGAGGAGAAAGATGCAAGCAGAGCCTCTAGAGCAATCCTTTCCAGACACTGCAGGGACCACAGTCATCTGTGGCCATTCCGAGTTGTCTACCTGCAGGAGAAGCAGCGGTCGGACCTCGCACTAGACTCCAGAGGACCCAGTCCAGGCCTCAAGCACCCAGTAACCCAAACTTCCTTGAGCTGCTGCTCCTCGGACCAAGGCTTTCTAACAGCCCTGAGCGGACCTTTCCAATGCACTGAAGCAATACAAAAATCACATCCCCAAAATTACTTCCACTTAAATCATTTGGTGCTAGAGATCTTCCCAGGCGATTGTCCACGGGCGCTAACGGAGCTGCCTTTCAGAAGCTGTCCCGTCTCCGCGGCGGCTGCAGCACGCGATGTGTCACTTTGCTGTGCACACTTCAGCTCGCCCACGCAGCCGGTGCAGACCCGGAGCCCGGCACGCACACCGGCACTCAGCCCTGATGTCTCAAGAGATCTGTGTAACACCCAGCAGGGCCAGACGAACCTCTCCTGCCACCTAGCCACATGCTGCCCCCCCAACACATTTACACACTGACCGGCCATCAAACGTGCAGTGTTCTGCGCAGGGAACATCCAGTAGCTCAAGACAGGGAAGAGGAATTAAGAAAAGCGAACAACAAAGCTGAGACCGCAGTTGGGGAAAATAGGAAACATGATTATTGCTTGGCTTGGAGCTATTGCAGAAATTAAAAGTGTGACAGCCTCTGGAAACATGGCGAAATTGAAAAGCGGGACCTGTCATCTAGCAGTTATTCAGCGCACATGAAAAGAATAAAGATGCTGCGTGTTACCTCGCAGAAACCAATTACGGCGCCGGCGTGTGCAGCTCGGCTCCCCAGGCACCTCTTACCGCCTGGCCAAACGCGCAGGAACCGCGGGCTCTGCCCTGGGAGCCACGCTGGAACACCCTGGCAGCGGGAGGCATGGGGAGCTGGGCGTCGGGGTGATTTTTGTGTATTGGATAATGGAATTGGGGAGGACGGGGCAAGAGAAACAGCTGGCCAAGCTCTCGGAAAGCCACTGTTTGCTTGGCACGAGCTTGCAGGATCAGCAAGGCAAGTGCTGACCGATTCCCAGAGAAGCCGCTGCGAGGAGCAAAGTCCATCTGAGCAGCGCTGGGCAAGGGCTAAGGAGGAAACTGGGAGGAAAAGAGAATCCCTGCCTTGCACTCGAGTACATTGAAAGGACTACGTTGCACTGCAGTCTGGGGAACAGCAGCTCACGCCAAATATCCCCTAAAGACACTGCTGGCATCGCAGCACCTCCACGGGATGGACGTGGTGTAAAGCGCTATCCTCAGCCCACGTAAATCACGCTGGTTTAGTGCTAAAGCCCCTCTTTCCTCATGCCGGTGGCAGCTCCCTTTCCGCTGTTAGCTGGCATGTGAAAGGCCATGTCAGAGAAGCTGATTTTGGTGGCACGTGACACCCAGCAAGTCGCCCACGGGAAATCAAGCAATCACTCGCTCATCTGTTCACTTGTCCAATTACTTCTCACCTTGAGCAGTGAGTTTTTGGAAGTGAAAAGGAGCCTTAAGAGGAGACTGCAACATGCTAAAGAAAATGCCAAATAACGTGGACCACCATCTCCTTTTGTCAGTTATTCCTGTTGCACCACTGCCCCGCACTGTAATCCAGGCAGGATCAAGACATGGACTGGGCATTTAACAAGAACCATCAATCCAGAGTGGCCCCAGCTCCCGCAAGAGCAACAGCATGAAGCAGACACCTGAACTGCCTTTCGTTTTTATCAGTAAAATTCATGAATCTTTAATGAAACACAAAACTTCCAGTTCTGCTGAAAAACACCAGTATCTTTTTAATAAGCACTCTGTTTAAAATGTTCTTTTCTCCTGCACTTTGGACCATATACTTATGCTTTTTTTATTGAGTTTGACTTGTACAACATTTTTTTTTATTTTATTCCTTAAACTGACAGAAGCCTCTTTCCCAGTTTTGGGACTTTGGGCTCGGCTTGGCCCCACACTTCGCAGGACTGACCTTCTAGTGGTGAAGCAGCACAGGGCTGGTGCCAACATCCTATTTGTGTTGACACGACCTTAGGATGGCCATAGAGATGTGAAAAGAGACCCAAAGCAGCCCCACACCATGGACCATGTGTGGGTCCCCACGGAGCACCCCAGCTGCCCCCCATTTGCCCTTCACCAGTGACCACCATGACCAAAGCTCTTTTTGCACAGGGAACTTGGCCAAGAGAATAGATAACTGATATTTTCCAAACTGCTTGAAAGAAACAGAAACTAGTAAGGAGCTCAGTGTCTATGAGGAGTCACTGGGGGCATAAGGAGTGGGTAGTACTCATCTGGGAGGAAAGAGGGGAGGAAATCATTTATCCTAATAAAACAAAGTCTATTATTACACTCGTAGTAAAACAGGGACAGGAGCAATCCTGCAATTTCCTCGGTAATAATCTCATTCCCTCAGCGGGATAACAACACTGCCTTTGGCCTTGTAATTTATCCACCAGAGTACCAGCCTATTGTACCAGAGCAACCTTCTCATTACCCCCTAAATGAAAGCAAGTGCCCCAGCGTTATTAACATGCTGCTGGAAACTAGCAGCCTCCCGAGGCAGCGCAGATCAGCAGCCAGCACCCATTAACGGTGCGTGTCCTGCAAGGGAGGAAAAATCGGGGTGCGGGGACAGGTCAAAGCAGGGGAAAGCGGGGGCACCTCCTCACCCGCAGCACTGCAGCTCAGCTGCCTTGCTGGGACAGCGCTCAGCAGGCTCCTGCTGCCAAGTGGTTGCTCGCACAGTGGCGAGGAATCGAGTCGCTGTAGCTTGGAGAGCTGCTGCTGGCAGCTGACCTGTGGTAACCGACCCCGCATTTGTCAAGTCCAAATTACTGGAGAAGGATTATTAGAAGCTGTTAACAATTGTTTTTTTCTCTCTTTTTTTTTTTTTTTTTTGT